TGTTGGAGACAATGGAATTTCTCCTGCAGTAAAGACAAAATCCAGCTGTATATGGTCAGAAAGACGACTTCCTCTTTCAGGTAGTTCTCACTGCATATTTATAGTGAGAAATGAGTATCGCCTTCCTTTTGCACATTAGGAGTGCTGAGCTGAAGAAAATGGGTATAACTTTTCTTTTAATTCTGTAATCTTATTATCCTAGCTCCAATAAAAACTGATAATGAAATCTGAGGATATGGAGAACTTAGATTTTTTCCATTAAGTTTAACTTGATATTTTTTTCAAGCAATGTGGTACTTACTATAGTCCAAGTCTTTTTAAGACTATCCAGGGAAACATAAACCCTTGCAGCGAGCCATTTCCTGTCAAAATTACATCTGACCTGCATATTTTTGCAATTTTCTGATGCATTATACAGTCAGATCAGGTTGTTCCTTGACCAGTTGTTCACCCCTATCAATTGCATTAGCATTTAACCTGTCAGTTTAAATTACAAAGGTAACAAAGGTGTAGGAAGGTTACAGTAGATTCAATCTCACACAGAAGTGTGGGAGAATAATCTTAAATCTTCTTTCAATTCAAGTGTTATTTTTTCTACTGACACACATATACTCACCTTCTAGAAACATCACTGTGACTGTATGCAGCTTTTTTTATGCTGAAGACTACATGAGATCAGCAAAGCGTGTGAAATAAGAAGTACTAGCAATAAGAAAAGCATGTATATTTTATTTGAACTTAGAATGCATCTACTGTATCTTTTCTCATTTTCTCTTCTGGTCTTTATCCTCTTTCAGTGCTGAGCTTCCTCTTTTTCTCTCTCTAGAGATTTTATTCTTCATTGTGACTGATTAGTAAATTAGGTCCTGTTCTATAATGCCACGAGCAGCTCATCAGGGGTTGGAGTCCTTCAAATCTTATTAAATCTTAATCCTTTCGAATTGAAGATACTCTGTCTCCAAGAAGGACTGCCCAGCCTCTCCTGCTATCTCCCCTCACCCTCTGCTGTACACTCACAACCCTACCAAGGCAGTTTGCATTGTTTAGGTGATTTCCTTAATAAAATATCATCAAAGATACATAACCCAGGAATGCAGAATAGCTATGATAATATAATATGTAGAGTCAAAGTAATGATAGTCCAGGCTAATTCCTCAATTACTTTCAAACTATAATACCCGCGCTCTGAGACAAAATCCATTCTCTTTTAAGCAAGTGCCTATGCTTGGAATACTCTGCAAATCATATTCATTTTTTCCTGGGATTTTATAAATCCCAGTAAAGACTGTATAACACACAGGCAAGTGGCGTCCTGTCATGGGTCCTGTAAGACTGTTTCAAGGTAGAAGGAGGACAATGCAAAATTTCTCCTCCAACTCTGCAATTCTGGTCCCAAAATGTCCACAGTGCATCAGGGAAGCAGAACTTGAAGCCACATTTTGGCCTGCTCATGAGGCAGGAGTTAGCACAGGCTATGAAGAAGGATGTCAGATTCTAACGACAAGTTACCTGAAAACAAAACATAATCAAATTCCTACTGCAACTACCTGCACCAACCTCTCTGTACCCCTTTCCGCATCAACACAGCTTGTTGAGCACTATAAAGGCTCTCTCTAGCCTTTTGCAAAGGCTAAATCAGCAGCTGACAAGCCGAAAATGCTACTGAAGCGAGTGTTAAAACAAACAAACAAAAAAGCAAAATCCTAATTCTCTTAACCTGTTAATGACATGACATTCCCTTTGTATTTTCTTCCCTTTTTTTTTTTTCTTTTTTTACTAAAAGTGAAACTAAGGGCTTCTACCTATAATATGCACATGCACAAAGCTCACATCAAAGTCATTCTGCCTTTTACCTGCGTGGAAACTGCATCATTAAAATAGTAAAGAAGCAACATGAAAGATAAAGCCAGATTGTGGCTGTTACTGGGTTCAGGAAACATAGTTGCATATTTCTTGTTATATATGCATATATTTAATATATATTGTTTTCAGTGTGTCCAGGATGCATGTTAAAAAGGCTCTAAAAATAAGAATGCCTGCCTCTGTGGTAAGTTTTAGCAATAGATAAATGCTAAAAATACTGTCATTGGAAAAACAGCTTAGTCATATATCTTTGCATGCTTACATAAATACGAACATGCAGCTGTGCCACATTAGCTGTGTCGTGATAAATGTTGTTTCATAAGCAAGGAGAGGAGGTTGGCCTACATTTGGCTGGGGGGAATTCGCTGCTGGACTGAGGATGCCGCTTTCCTCTGCCCGAGCCCCGAGCAGCTGTGCCACCCTGCATTCGGGAGCGCGAGGCAGGGTTTATAATCTAGGCTCTGGGCAGGACATCTGAGTCTTATGATTATCCAAATATGTAGATATATTTGAAATGCTTAACTGATTTAAGATCATAATGAAAAATCAATTGTCTATCCAAATAGGAAATACAGCTCAATAGCAGTCAGTACGAATTTCCAGTGAGTCTTTGGAGTCATACAGGTGTCAGAAAGACAACCTTCGCAGTGACAAGAATGATTCAGACCTTATTGATGTAACCCACAATATTACTGCTCTTGAGCAAAGACAGATAGATTACTCTACAGTTACATGCCAGGTTTTATTAAAGAGTGCATTGGGAATTGTCAAACTTCTGCAGAAGTATAATATCCGTACACTCAGAAGGCCCCTATGGCCTTTTCCCAGCATCTCATATTCTGTTTTCAATACATATGGAATAATGTTAAGGAAAGAAACAAAAGTTGAAGTGATGTTCATTTTCCCTGCAATATTCACTACTCTACTAATATAGCTGCAGATCATTTGCTATTCCTTGCATAGAGAGCTTGGATTTAGATTTTTTGGTCTCATTGCATCTGCCTTTTGTAATGAGATCTATCTTAAACCCATCTTAACTGGGCAGCTGAGGATATTTCCCCATAGGAAATTCCTCCACTAGACTCATCCTTCACTGAAGGGGAGGAACTATGCTATGACTGCAGCCGGGAGAAACAGGATAGAGCTGGCAAATGGATTCACTCAAATTACAATCAGGTATCAGAACAGATTTCCGGGTGCAAAATGCTCCAAGAAAAAAAGCAGATTTCATTTGAGAGCTCTGCCTTATAATTCCAACTCCCTTGCAGCAAATTTCTTCGGTGGGTACATTTGAGAACACTGAGGAGTATTTTTATCTTTTTTAAAGGTTTTTTTTTTCTTTTTGAAGAGTAGAAGCCCTCTAAAGTGAACTAGGTTCAGATGTGGTTTTTGCTCCACTGTAGTTTCCCACCCTCCCAAAAGAAGCAGTCCCCGTTGTGGAACAGAGTACCTGCTGCCCCCAGGTGGTCTCAGGAACTAGTGGAGCCATGAGGTTCCACCAGGGAGGCAAGAAGATGAAAAACAACAAAACCACTGTCTTTCAACCAGCGCTTGTATTCATGTCCGTGAAGCCACAATCAAGCAGCTGAAGCTAAAGTTAATTAAACTTCGGTCATAATCTGTTTGTTCCCAAAGGAGAAAATAGAGTAATACAGACTTTTGTAGGAGCTCATGGACTGGCTTTTCTGGGCCACAGATTCTGGCTGCACTGCTGTGATATATTTGGACTGTCAAGCACAGCGTGAGGGCGCTGCTCAGTCTTCCAGCACAGAGGCGTTCCTGAGAGCGGGAACCGAATCAGGCCCTTGTTTCTACAATACCTAACAAAATACACTGAATGATCTCTGAGGGACAATTCACGCGGTTACTGCTTAACGTTCTTAACTCCTGTACTTGTCAGCTTCTCATCGCTGGACGATGCATAGCCTAGAATATCCAGTACTCCACTAGGTGATCCCCAAATGCTGTTTTTCTTGCTGGTTCGGTGCTGGCATTGGTTCTGCCGCTAGGCGAAAATACAGAGCAAAGCTTTGTGGGGAAAGAGGAGAGACAGCTAATCACATTCACTGAGCGTCTAATTGTCGCGATGGTCCCTGGAGCACCGAAAGAAATATTATATGAAAAATGGAAACAACAACACCCCTCTTCACCCCATGAAAAGTGGAGAATTGCAAGACTTTCGAAGGGATCAGAGACACTAATTCAATGGCACAAACCTGAAAAGCAGAGCAAAGGAAAAATTTGAAGACAGCTTTTTTTCAGTGAAAAATGTGGATTTGCTTCCTCTGAAGAACGTAAGGGAATCAGGAAATTCTCCTTTAAGAAAGGACAAAATAATTCTCTCATCCCAAATAATATGCTCGTATATTTCAAAGGAAAATGAATGTTTAAATATAGTGTAAGCCCTTTAAAGGCATCTCATGACCCAACTTTTTAGCGCGCACTGGTGCATCATAACCACACAACGTCAGTGGGCCTCAGCAACCCACACAATCAATTCCCAGCTTCTTTAAATAGTTGCAGCAAATGCCTGTGGAAACACTCTCCATCTACATTTATAACTCAGAGTTTTACTACTGTTTCTAATATTATGTAGTCATTAATAGCATCATAAATTGTTTATTTTTTATGGTATGATCCCAAATATAGCCCCCAGTCCTATAGGAAACAAACCTCAAAGTCATTTGGCATGTTTTTCCAGTGAGTATTTATAGTAGTACAGGCATCTGAGACTCTTTTCAGTGCAAAAAGCCCTATGCAGGTTTTATTCATGTAACTCACAGCATTGCAGCTCCTGAACAAAGTGAGCTTACGCTGAAGTTGTATGTCAGCCTCTACTAAAGAGCGCGCCGGGAATCATCAGCCTTCTGACGCCTGCTGGCCAGAGCACCTAGTGCTTCAGGTGCCTTAACGGAGCCTTATCATGCAACAAATTTGCCACATGTTTGCAGATTCGGCTACTGGATATAGTTAAGAAAAAGAACCAGAAGTTGCCTGACTTTTCTTACCATTACAGCATTTCAAACCTGATGTTGTTAACTGAGAGTATAGCTTGCACCGCCACAAAGGTTGCAAACTTCAAATTCACATTTTGCCTGCTATAAGTTCAATGTGTGTTTTGGCACTCTCTCCCCCAGGGCCAAGATTTCACCCCGAAAGTGCAAAAAGGAAACAAATGAACAATACTCTAATCAGATTCATCAACACAGGTCATCCCATTACCCCCCAGAGCTTCAAAATTTGGAAGAATGAGTGCTTCATGCAGGTGAGCAAGCTGAACTTGTCCTCAGTTCCCCTTCCTTCACGAGCATTTGCCCACAGCCCGTTATTAGGGTGTTTAAATACATCTCTAGGCCCAGATATAAGTAACGGTTCTGACAAGCAAAGATTCTAACCGCAGACAAAGACTCTCTCTTTCGGATTATGATTTCTGATGTTACACAAAGCACAACAGCTAAAATGAGAACAACTGGGAACTATGGGTGAACCAAAGTTAAAGTACAGAGCAGTCAGCGTATGGGAGGGCTGGTTCAGTCCTTTCTTCTGCTTGATTCAGAGCAAGCACTTGGAAACGTATCAATCATGCCAATCTAAGAAAAATAATCGAGTTTGAAGGATGATGCCTTTAAGCAGAAAACATTGTGGATCTGAGAGAGATAGTCTTTGAAATTTCCAGCAAAGCTCAGAAATTTCCACCAAAAAAGTTTTGGTTTCAACTGCATCTCCCCCTTCACCTGCCCCTTCTTCTCTAATACATTTTAAAAAACCCTTATTAGTTGCCTTCCTATTCCTAAAGGTACCCTCAAGATAAACAAAATCAGGCCACGTATTGAATACGGCACACGCACCGTTTACAGTGTGTAATTAGGCCATGGAAATCAGTGCCACTGTCTATCATGAAGTCAAACTCTGAGGCCGAAATAACTCAGTATCTTTACATTTCGTATCCCCCATATATTCCTGCTTCGGAGAGCAAATGCCTCAGCTGAAGGCTCCAGCGTTGTCTGCAACGCTGACCTTCCGCGGAAGTGTTACCAGGATTTGTCCCTGCGCTATTCATGAGAGCAGATGAGATTTACCAGGCCTTGTTGCCTGTGTTATCAAATTGCTTAACTAAAATTTTTAAAGGGGAAATGGGTTTGTATTTTTACTGACAAATGGAGTAATTCAGATACTGGGCCTTTGTAATACAGCAGAGGGAAATTCTTACAAACCTAAAGACTCACTTAGACTTCTTGCGCTATCTTGTTATGTTAATATATGGCAGGAGAATTCCACTTAGATAGATACTACATTGAGCCCCTAATTGAAAACAAGAAGAGAAACAGAAATTATTTTCACTTACCACCTGGGTAAGTGACTGTAGAGCTGAGAAACTGCATGGAACCAAAATCTCCCCTTAGTTTTCTCTATGTATTTCGCAACATGCTATGTTACACTTGTGGCATTCACCTTTCTTGTGATTTTTCTTTTCCAGTGTGTACATCTGATAACTGCTGGGCTTCCTCAGAACTTCTTCGTGAAGAAGATACGGAAAATGTAAAATTGTGCTCCCAACGCAGCCTTCCCAATGCAGGACTCGGAGAGGGGAGCTGCTCCGCTCCTGCGCTGCCCATTGCCACGTCGGGGAATGGGAATCAGCCTTCCCAGCGCCCTGGCTTACCTGTGCCTGGAAGGGACATTTTGAACCGTCCCATGTGAAAACAGACTGCTATGAGGTGTCCGCAGTGGATTTTCTAGTCACTTAAATGGCAGGTGAGCACCTTCCCGAAAAGGGATGGTCCAGATCCAGCAAAGGTCTGCGACTTGATTCAGCAGACACTGAATGCACTATGGGACTCAGTGCGTTCTCACTGCCTGTATCCCTGCAGCCTCTTTTAACCTTAAAATCAGTCCCTTTGCAGAATAGCATTCTGCAAAATGTTTACAAAGTGTCTAGTGCCCTCAATTCCCTTTGGTTTAAAACACATACAGTTTGTTAGCTCTCGTATCTTTTTTCTTTCCCACTTTCTGGGTAGTGCAAAGCACATCAGGTGAAAACTCAACCTGAAGGTAAAAGAAATTTTGCTTTTATCCCATCAATTGGTGGTCCTTTAGAAATAAAAGTGCAGCAAGTAACTACTCTGCCATAAATAACTCCCTTTCTTTTTTAAAGATTGTATTTACCAAAAATAAGTAAGTATCAGAAATACTATGCCATATAATCGGCACTAAAAATGTATCTAATTGTTTGCATCAGAAGAAAGAACTTTGTATTGTTGACTACAAAGAGGTTACAGGAGACTCTTGGATTTCTTGTCTATGTACAAGCTTTAGAAATAACATTTTGCTGAGCTAAGTGCCTTTTATATTTGTTGTTTACAATAGTAGCTGCCTTGTGTTTTAACTAAGACCTTTTCATCTATTGGGTCAAGGATATCGGCTGACCATGGAAACTAAAATAATTCTTGACAGGCCCTGCACTTATTTTATTTCTCTAGATCACAGCCTTAGCCTTTGGCTCCTAGTCAATATTTTGAAGAATTGCTAAGAGATCAGCATGCCCTTTAGTTTTTTGTTTTTGCTAAAGAAAAATAAATAATCCCATCTCTTCCCTAAACCATAAGGATATATGTTTTACTCTCTTTTTATCCATCCATCTATCTCCTCCAACATACACTGTGTGCTGCTCAGTCTAACAAAATGTAACCACTGTATTAAAAACACAATCCTCAGAATTCTCACAGGCATGAAAGTCTCGAATGATTTTTCCTGTAGACTATAACAGTGAGGTAAAAGGGAAAACAATAGCTTGGGTTACTCTCTATTTTTAATATTGTGGTTTTACTGAGAAATTTTATGGTGCTGTCACAATGAGACAGAGACATATATGTCATAATAATACTGTCATAATAGGTGCATGTACCAAATGTAACTTCTGAGAACGGCTGAGTAATTTCCGCTACACAAAGTGAGGATTCTCCTGTTGCAGCAACCTTGGCATTACTTGAATGTGTCTAATTTTGATGTGCATCTTAGCTGGACCAAAGCAAAAGGGACAACAAAAAACAGTGAAAATAATCAGAGGTCAATAAGAATCACCTAAAAAGAACACTTGAAATAATTTTTTTTCCGTAATTTGGCATAAAGACTGAGTAGAGAGAGGATAACAGTCTTCAAATACTTAAGAGAGAGTAGCAAAGATGAGGGAGATAATTTGTATCATTTATGCACCCATATTAGAGCTACCTGCCAAAAATGACATTTAACCACAGAATGTGACAGTCACATTGAGATTACTAAGCTGGGCTTATTTCACTCAGTGCTTCATTAAAACAGTACTGGTATCATAGACCTTCTCACTTCTGGAACTCAGGAGATAGCGAGAAGAAAAGCTGTTTTTCCACAATCATATAGACCACGACTGTTTAATGTAGCTGATTAACATCGTGTTTATGGATCACAGCTTTCGCTGTTTGTTAGTATAAGGCTACAACTCTAGAAGTTACTGCTAGATAAACGGCTTATGCTTTTAACCCACTTTTTTCTCACCAGGTGCATGTCTCCAGCAGACTATAAATATAATGCACCTGAAACCTGAATAGAAATATTTACCTCTTCTCTTGGAACGGCTCAGGAGCACCATGCCACTGAGCCTATACCTTTTCCCCAGTTTATGGGAGTCCAAACTGCTGGAGGAAGCTCTCCCGCTGCTCGCAGCCCCACCCCTGCCACTTGGCAGGACCCGGTCAGTGTCCCAGTGTGCCCGCGAGCGCTGGCAGAGACCCTGCGCGGGGCAGGCGACCAAAACACGGCTGGCTATCTCGGATGTGGCTGCTTGTATTCCCAGGAGTGATCTTCAGATGAGCAGGTTGTTTATCAATAAACATCCATCTGCAGATTTTTACAAGGTCTTAAGACACTTAAGGTACCTCTTGGCACTGTATCAGTTTTAAAGGCACATAATTATCTAATTACATTACAGAATAACACCATTCCAATTATTCTCCCTTAGTCTGTGGCAGACTTAGTGCTCTGCAGTACTTATGACAATGTCTTATGCAGTAGTTAATGTCATCCTTTGGTGGACAGCAGATGCTTTACTTTCTTGTGAAAGGTGAAACACAGAGAAACCAAGGAAAAATAGGAAAATTTCTGAGAAGGAAGGCAATAACTTTTGTGGAGGTGGAACTATTCTGTTGAATCTAGTTTTCTCAGGCAGAACTGAAGTAGATAAAACACATGTTGGCATCTTAAAGCTTAGTTTTTCTTTCTTCCCTTTTCTTTATCATAAAATGAAGAAAAGTATTTCCTCTCCAGTCTTTGATCTATTCCTCAGACAGCAGATCAGCAAAGCTATGTCAAAAAAAGAATAATGTTTCCAAAGCAATAGAAATTCTTGAAGAACTACCTATATGTCTGCTTGATAAATTATTTCTTAATTTCTATATTCATACAAAGCACATGCATTTTCATGCACCATTGAACAGAGAAATACTGTGAATTTCCATAAAAAAGCTGCTATTAGGTTTTTTCTTTTGATGAAGAAGGAATTTGCTATGATTTTTTCAAATCATCGTCAAAAACTCAGCTATCCTCTCTGCACCCTATTGAGTATAAGCACCATTTTTAAAAAATGTTATTAATTGAAGATATTTACAAATTTTACTTAAAATAAATTCAATTATCTGATTTAGACTGTGTTTTCAAACTAACGTGACAGGATCCTCATATTACGGCAGTGTAAACCTCAAGTAAAGCCATTTTTAGAAATGGATTAATACCAGTTTTTCATGAAAATGTGAGGTTTAGTGAGATCCAGGTGAAGAGGAGACGCTTAGGAAGATCCCAACAAAGCTAAGCAGGGTAACGGGCAGCTAACATACATTAACGAATAGCCAGAGGACAACCAGGACGTAAGTTTAAATCCCTGGCAGAGGGTGATCAATACCCCATTGCTCTCAGGAAAGCGGGGAACGACAGCCAGTGTGGAGTGCAGAGCTCTCAGGGCTTCTGTAAGGAAGAAACTAAATATCCTGGTCTGAAGAGCCCCTAGGCTTTTGTGAAAGAACTCAATAGGTCAGGAAATGTGTAAATTAGGTGATAGCTAAATGGGATGGAGCAGACTTGCTCATTATGAAATTTCATATTTAATTGAATTCCCAAGTTACGGGGAGATGATGGCGTACAAATCTGTGACTAGAATTAAATAAGATTCTGGCCAATGCTAAAGAACAATGAGTAACACTGCGAGCATCCGGCTAGAAACAGGAGAAGGCTGAGCCAAATCACAGCTGTCCTCTCCTGGCAAACGCCAAGTGGAGTTACCTGTGCAGTAGGAGAGAAGGCTTGTTTTATGCCCTGGGAACTAAACTAAATATCAACCAGAAGGCACTAAGAAGCAAGAAAAGTGAGGCTGTTAATGTCTAGTACATTGAGATGCTGACTCTTTTTCCAAATCTCCTAACTTATGAGCAGAGACTGGGAGGGTCTCAGCAGCGTTGCAAAGACTCGTAGCACAGTGAGGAGGTCCCCTACAGAACGTGGATTATAGAAGAAACACACTATTTCCTTGTCCCATGAGATTTCAATAGTTTGAAGAGAAATTGCATTCCAGACAGTGATCTCACATTTTCACACTTCCCCCCACCTTTTTTTTTTTGTCAGATCAGTCAAATTAATTGGTTTGAACTTTTTTCATATAAGTTCATTACAATTTTGAAAAACTGCATCATGAGAAAAAGCACAGTCTTCAGTTAACAGTGTCAACATGCGATTGCGCTGACTGTTTTTTCTTCTTAATTCGATATATTGAATCAAATTCTGCTTAGTAAACAATTTTTGTTTTGGCAAACCAGCATTTTTTCCAGTGGGAAAATATTTGTCAAGGAACTCCCCACCATCTCAGATATTTTCCCAGAAGTGGTAGCTTAATAAAGTTGTAGCGTATTTAAAACTATGTTCTTGTATCTTTTAGGTCTTCCTGGAGTATCAAGGGAAAATCAGTCACCATTTGTACTCAGTAAACTAGGAGATGATACTGCAGGAATCGATGTAACCCATGTATGTATGTGTGTATATATTGGGAAAAGTAGCAAGTAAAACTAACGCCTCATGGGAATTTATTTTAAGCAGCCAGTGGGTGAGATTCTACTTGTGTGCATATGTAAATGACATAGCCAAAGGAAAGGGAAAATTGCAAACTTAGAAAGTACAGATTAATATACAAGAAATAAGGCCAACATAATCAAGTTATACTCAGCTATTCTAGTTCCTCAGTAATTTACATAGAGGCCGTTTCTGATTGGATGCAGATAATTTCTGGCTCTCCACTCTTTCAAGAAAAATCAATTTGGAGACATTACAGACTAAACCAATATTTTCCCGTTACAGCTGCAGCATTTCTTGCACGTACAAAGCTCCATCACTCATATGGGAAAGCTGGTGTTTCCCAAGGTGGCAGAGGGTGTCATTGGCACTGTGAGCATGCAGAAAGTATCAGGAATAATATTGTGTCAGTACTGAGCTAATACTACTAATGGCAGCATTTTTAAAGACTTCTTGGACAACTCACAATTACCATTTCTTCAGGCTTCCTAAATTATCAAGCATTATCAAAATAGACAAGGTCATTGTTTTATCTGCAATAAAGTCAAAGGAACTGCCAGAGATATTGCAATAGTATTACACACATAATTACTACCATGGTAATTTATTCAATAAAGCTCTCATTTAATTACAGGAACCTATTACACTGAATGATGTGTTGAGCATGATTTATATCTCAGATGTAAATATTCAAAAATAAGCCTCCTATAATGAAAGCAACTCCTAGCTGTTCTCCATTTGCATTAGGCTTCAGATTGCTGATACAACAGAAAGGAACCACCGGTGGGTCACATAACTACTGAATATTCGATGCGGCGGGTGATTTATAGACATAAAAAAAGATGGCTCAAACAGTGCAGTCTAAAATAGCACTACATACCTCTACTAATTGTCCTGGGTTCACAACTGGCATAAGTATTTCATATCAGCATAAGAGAAGTTAACACTCAGGGCTGTAATCATTTTGGCAACACTTATTCTAGCCTGTCAGAAATATGATTAATAAGAGGCAATATCAAATACCTGATACCTGGCATGGAGATATAGGAGGTCCTTGAACCCTCAAGGAAATTCTGGTTTCAACCAGGAAATAGGACAAAGCTGGCTGGCATTTTGCAGGTGAGACTTCAGAAAGACCAAAGGCGCAAAGGACCGGTTGAATATTCTGGCCAAACTTCTCTTTTTGTCACCCAGCCAAAGCTAGGGGTCAACTCTTTGCTCCAGCTAGCATTTAATTAGAGAAACAGCAGCCATTTTATGTTGCTAAAGCTTCTTTACTCTTTAGGCCCAGGGCCTTCAGCCACCAGTTCCCGACATAAGCCAATGGTGAATCTGGCCGATTGCATATCACCTGTGTTTTGCTCTTCTTGTGTGTTACGTTTGCCAAGAAACACTCAGAAGTTTGAAATGGTAGAGATTTGTCTGTAAATTAGTAAGTCTGCCCTCTTTTTTGCATGCACTGAGAAACTGTGCATCTGAAATAATAAAAAGTGAGTCTATACTGATTTACACTAACTTAGATGAAAATATACTGCACCCTTGTTTGTAATATGGAAAAATAAAGACTTCTCATACTTAGTAGTAAATTATTTTTTATCAGTGCGATAGCACACACTTGTACACGCAGTATGCTCACACCTGCCGGTGTGCGCTCATTGCCCTCATTCCCTCTCCTCCCTGCGTCCTTGGGTTATGTGAAAAGAGAGCAGATGGAGACTTCTGCAGCTTTTAAAGCCACACAGCACCACGGGAAGGTAGTTAGAGCTGTATGAAGTCACTGCCTATGCATAAACTGCACCTTCCTCTGTTTTAGTACCAAAAGCCTTGCAAATCACTGTTTCACTTACATATTTTTCTCCACAGATATTAGAGCCTTCTGAAGAAACAGTAGAATGAAGCATTTTATATTTGCAAGTAATGCGTTTTCCAGCAACCATGCTCACTTCTTTTATCACAGATTTAAACAAGATCAAAAATCTCAGACCCATTCAGATGCTGTGTCAAGTTTGACTGAAATTGAGGAAACGTTCATAACAGCCGCAGCTTTCTAAAGAGACAGCTTTGTCATGAAGAGTGTTAGCAAATTGATAATACAGGTATTATTCAGCACTCTAAATCTATGCTGATACTGAAAACTGCTGTCAAAGCTGCTGTGTTTATTGACGTCATCATGAATACATTGCTCTCTAAAAGCAGTATTGTTAGAAGGTAGCTGAAAACGTTATCTGTTTCTCAGTTTAACTTTGTAAAAAGCTCACTTTTAGAAACGCTTCAAAATTCTTTATATTCAAGATTCTTTAAAAGCAAAAAAGACTGAAAAAAACTGATTCACAGTAGCAAGTCACATAAAGTCTTCAAGGAGTCAATGGTATTTTCTCCGTTATATTATTTAGGAACAAAGAACTGGAAGAGACCACTGGGTCCGTGTGACTCGTCTCTACAGTCGTGGGCAAGTGTGTCTACGACTGCCCACCTTGCTTCTCACGCCCTGTACACAAAGCTAGTAAGGGGTCTTACAGACTTGGAGAAAGCTAATCGCATACTAACTATCATGGTTACATGCTGGAACAGGAATTACCCAAAACGGAGGGTGCGCTGCTGGAATATTACTGCTGACTAAAACCTAAAGACTACCTTAGTAAGAGACTGGCATTCAATAATTTACCACTTGTGTTCTCCTTTCACATACACTGAAAATAATACTGTAAATAAAAGGAAAAAGCATTGCCTCTCCCAGTGCTGACCTTATTTAACCTTATTTTAGTTTGATTTTTAAAACAAGTCATTGAAGATCAAACCTGCCAAGAGATTTAAACAATTTGCCTCCCGGTGGAGTCAAAACCCTGAGTGACTTGCTCAGGCTGCAAGCGCATGCCCCAGTCCCATTGTGGTTTCAGCCTTTCCTAAATATGTTCGTACAAAGTGCTCCTGTTTTGAGGGAATCTGAGCTCAGAGCCTTATGCCCATGCCATTTTACCCCAGCGTCACCCCCATGACATTTTCTCCCAGTCAACTCTTAGGTCTAATCTGATTTGACTGAGATGGAGAAACCTCATGCTCTCTAGAGATTGATTCTCCTCAAACACAACACACAAATGAATATTTTACAAGTCACATAAACACACTGCTTTCCATTCTTCTTTTTCACTCCTGCTGCTCAAAAGGAGATGCTGATACCAATTTACAGCTTTAAGCTCCCTTCATAGAGGTCAGGCATAAATTTGCAGCTTTGCAGCTGAGTCCTGTCGCAAATACCTGCCCTACTTCCTAGGGTTCCCGCCTAAGCTCCAGAAAAGGCATATGCTGCTGTTCAGTTTAGCGTGCAACTTTTGACATTGTTTTAACTCCTACTCAGCTGTAACCGTTGATTATTAAAATTTGTAATTGCTCATTTGTTCTAGAAAACGTACTCCAGAGGTCCCGTGCAACAGTTTTTGCAGGAACTTCCTTGTTACTAAGAAACGAGTTGTACTGAAACTACTGACCTGTAAAACCCCTGCTAGGAAGAGAAAGCTCACTACATATGGTCACATTCTTCAGCACTTAATGGTCAACAGCTAATATGATATACCTTAAACCTGGGTAAAGGAATTAACAGAATATCAGACGCTTTAGGATGGGGTATTCAAAACGCACAACGTTGTGTATTGGATTACCGGCAGAGTAGCTCACCTTTTTCTGTTTCTTGTGCACCTGCAAACGGGTGTCATTGCAACAGCTCAACTGCAGGTCTGCTCCCCCGTTGCACGCTGCTGCTCCGCCCGTTCAAGACACACTTCTTGCGGTTTTATTGCTTTTGTGCATACATGGTTTATGAGTATATAACTTTGGCTGAGAGAACACCTTTCCATCCACAGTTGCACAGGATACAAGTACGGGTTTGGTGTTGCTCTTAAAACTTTAACTAGAGGATACTTCCAGTCAGACTTTCTTTCACAACTTATAGGTCAGGCATAAATAGTAAGTCAACACTGAGAAACGTACAATTTCCCGAAGCACTGTGATAGATACACGGTTGCCCATTTCCTGGTACATACCTTTATCAAATCCCTTTATCCCTCTCTGTATTTGAACAATCCTTGCTCTTGCTCATCCACTTGTTTTTATCAGTACTGGCTGCCTTACCTCCTCTGCCAAAAATTATCTTGCTGCTACGTGAGGGATCATTTCAAACAGAATTAGTCAGCTGTGCTTACTGTGAAATTCGGTATTTCTGTGGGAAGGTGTTTTTAACTTTTTGCTGGATGATTATTTGTAACCAAACTCTCCCAAGTACCCAGAGTGCTCTGTCTATTCCCCTTTCCTTTTGACTGGAACATGCAGCAGATGCCGTTGTAGGGCTCATCCTTTGGCATGAGCTACCTTATACATCAAATAAGTGCTCAAATACCAAGAAAAAATGACTACGCTTAATATTCCAAAGCAACTATGGAGCTTGAGCAGCCAGCATTTTGATCAGGCTCTCCGATCCATATTATTTAATGACCCGAAGGCATATTGGCTAGTGCTGTGAACTGGCCTGACCGAGTCAAATTCCACTCTCTGATTGCCTTGGAAAGCAAAAAAAATGCAGAGTAAACATCACGGCCAGCCAATGAGACAACACCTCTCAGCCAGTCGGCATCAGAGAAACACAATTTTGTTGGAATTTCTAAAGACGGTGAAATAAAAATGCTGTCAGCACTCTCTGTACGTGGGGATTCCCAGAAGTTGCATTTCATTACATGCTTAGGTGTTCAGCTTGGAAACTAAACTGCTTATCCTTTATGAGAGAGAATCTTTGATTGTGACAGTGCACCATGCAAACCCCATTTGTCCTGAAGACTATCCTGTGCAGGTAAAGTGATTATAAATCTTGGCAATATTCTGCGTATCTGGGGAGCTAGGGGTAACATCCTGTTTCTGCACTACAGAGTTTTGGTAAAACAGGCTATATATAACAATACATCTGTTTATTTTTGTTATGGTTCTTCCATCGCTTTCTGACTGCTTTGGTCTTCTCTTTGAAAGGACTTGATTGTACCATTCTCTTTGTTTTCAGCATCATAAAATGAAATTCACCTCATTGAACCAAAGATGACCTCCATCCAGTGCCTCTTAGATTAGCGATAACAGCAGGCTGCTGTCTAACTGAAAAATAATTTCTTCAGCTCCTTCAGCTCTTTGTTATGATTACTTCCTAAAATATCATTTAAGAACTGGAATGGAAAACAAATGAGAATATCTTCTCTCACTGTTTGTATTTTGTCTTACCAACAAACACGCACACACATATGCATACACACTCTAGCACACATCGGTTTAGAATAGCTTTTTTCCCCTCTGGAAGATGAAGAAAATATTTAACTCTAGATAGCCAATAGGAATAAAGTGTTAACATGGGTAGACATAAACCTACTTTTTGCCTAAAAGACTTTGTGCTTTAAAACAGGAAAAAACTGTAGTTTTACATTCATGTGAAATTGAAACTGTGTGTATTTAGGAACAGATTTTTAAATATCAGCATGAAAGATCACGTTAGAATATATTATCACATCCTGCACTGTAGCATGTGTTGCATATTTCCAACAAGGAAAGCATGAAAGACTAATCATACAGTATGAATAATGACAAGTTTTTACAGTGCAATTTTTGCAGCATTGTTCCAGACATTCACTTACACTGGGGAGAGGAAATGGGACGATCTCCTGAACAGCTCAGCGTCCGCGGCTAGATGGGCCCACTTCGCGGGTGTTAGGAGTACAGTGGCATTTAGCTGAACACAGGCATAAATGCAGGTATTTCAGCTATTTCAGGCCTACTGCTTAGCTGCAGGAGAGATTTCAGCTGGCAGTAAATGCTGGACTTTTGTTTCCAGCAGCCAGGGCTCCACCATCTTTGTTAAATAATGCAATTTCTAGAGGACGCGTGAGGCTCAGCAAGCCTTTCAGCTTCAGTTTTGTCATCCTTCACTTCACCATATTGAAGAATGTGCTCTTCAGAAATAAAATGAACTTTTCTTTTTCTTTTCCCTGACAAAACTTTGAGTGCCTCAGACACTGGAATGGGTTTTTGACAGCTGACCTTATTTTATCAAGTCATATATCATCAAAGCAACACAAGTCCGATAGTGTATTGCAGTAGTGGAGATGAAATATTACACGAATATATCATCCAAGTAATGCTGTTTTTATGATGTGTTTGCCCTAATATAAGCTACCTGGCAGAAGCCCTTGCTAGTGTACTGGGCTTTTCTTGCTTTATTTAAGGAACC